GTTTCTCTCCATTTTCCCCATTTCACTTCATTTATCTCATTTTTAGTTATTCAATTTAGTTGAAGTGTACGCAAATTGATCTAAACACACAGTTATAAAAAATAAACAAGTGATATGAATCAAGATATATGTATTTTATTTTTCTTTTCTTCCTATTTCACCCAATCCAAACGAACTGTTAATGTTGTAATATGAGAAAAATAAGTTTTACTTATAGTAAAATTTGAATATTTTATCTACTGATGAAACATAATAGTTTTGATTAACTCTACTAAATCCAAATGAATCTTTCATATTCTCAAATTCTGAAACACTTTTTTGAATATATTTTTTGAATATATTCATGCAATGTATGAGCATTAAAAATGCAAAATATAAACTCTCTCATATTATGAATTTGTAGGTGAAAACAGAGGAACTTGTGACAGCTGATTCAAAGGGAGATGGTGGCTGGGGAGATAGCGATCCATCTGTTTTTATCATGACAATAAGTGGGAGATTGCAAGGCGAGTTTCAAGTAACAAATGGCTATGGTCCACTCAAGGCACCGCAAGTTATGAGGGTAAGATGCTCTAACGCGTTACAAGTTATTCATTTTTCACTAATTGATTGAATTTGACTGAAGGATATCATAGGTTCATGTAGTTGAGAGATTTTTATTTCATGACTAAGGATTGTACTGTAATCCTAATCCTAATAATTCTTTACATTAAACCCACTAAAACTCATAATGGCATGGCAATTTGTTGACAGTTAAAGTAGGATTTTGATGATGTGTTGTTATCGCATCCTTTGAGATGGATATGTCTGCTTCTTGCAAGAAATAGAGAGAATTCAAATCATGTCTATATTAAAATAGAACTAACATTGAATATCATGAGCTCTGAATGAGAATTAAAATGCAATTAACAAGTGTTTATTATTGAAAATAAGAGTCCGTTTGGTTGTTTTTTCATTTTTCATTTTCCAGAAACACAAAAATTTTCTTTTTTCTTTTTCACAAACAGCTCAACTTTTAGGGAAAGTCAAAAAATTGCTTTCTCACTAAGTGAAAATGATGGGTTTTTTTTTCCCCTTTAAACTTTTCATTATTTTCTTTTGAAAAATATGAAAAACAAAAAAGAAGAAATCAAATCACAGCCAAAGAAGCCATAATTATTTTTGGAACTGATCCGTATACAAATGAACGAATTCAAAATTTATATTTTATATGAAAAGAAAAATTGATGGATTAAATTGTATGGATTTCAGGAGCATTGGAGCACATTCATAGTTGAAGAAGACTTCAAGTTCATATCAAACAATGGAATAAATGCAGTGAGAATTCCAGTAGGGTGGTGGATTGCCAGTGATTCAATACCTCCACACCCTTATGTTGGGGGATCCTTGCAAGCCTTGGACAATGCCTTCCTATGGTCTAGGTATGCACTTTTTTTCTTTTGTTTTTATTTTTTTAGTGACGAACCTCCTCAAAATGGGACTACATTACACAATTTCTTCAAAGTAAATCCTGGATACACATAGTTATTGATAAATTATGTGTATCAACAAGGCTATATGTGTAGTGAAAATTATTAAATTCAAACAAAGAATCAAACCTAAAATGTTTAGATTCATGGTTCAAATAGATTTCTCACTCAAATACTTGCATTCCTCACTAAACTCAAACAACTCGTTTGGGAACTAAATATTTTAACCAAAGAATCAAAAAGTCACTACAGTTGTCATATTAGTCTCTCTACTATTTATACATCTTTTCATAAAAAGTAAAAAAGTTATTAAAATAGTCTGTTCCCAAATGATTGTGGCTTAAAAGTTAATTTATTGACTCAAAAAAATTTATTTTATTAAAAAAAATCTTAATTCAATTAACAAAATCATTTTTGGTTCAAAAAAATCACTTATTTTTAAAACAAATTTTCATTCATTTCTCATTCCCCTAGCTTCTTAGGCCACCACTCGCCTCTGGCTACTAGTAATCGCCTCCCATCAAAAATTCACCTCTAGTTGCCACCTACCTCCTCACTTTTTTTCAATACAAGTTTTTGAAGACATGTTTGTGCTAAACATTCTATTTTTTCCGTTTTCACAAAAAATAAACATAAATATGTTTAATAACTTGGTGTTATGTTGCTTGCAGAAAATATGACATTAAGGTTATCATTGACCTACATGCTGCACCAGGTTCTCAAAATGGTTTTGAGCATAGTTCTCCCAGAGATGGATTTCAAGAATGGGGATTATCTGACCAAAATATACAACAGACAGTTGATGTTATAGACTTCTTAACTGCCAGGTACAAACATATAGTCACATGTTTTAGCATGATTCAATTTCGATCATACGGTAAGATCATATGTACCTAATCATATGTATTCGCAACCTTTTTAAATTAAAATCTTAATTAAAAATTTTGTAATCCAATAATTAATATTTTAAAAACTTCAATTTATTAGCTTAATTCAAACTTTAAATTAAATAAAATTTGATAGTTAGTATTTTTTGAAAAAAAAAATGCTTATAATATCGTGGTTGTTGTTTTTATTTTATTAGTTTATTGAATTTAGTTTGACTCAAATTTCACTTTATTTTTCATTATTTCAAGTTAAACAATATTAACACTAAATTTCAAATTTCATTATCAATTTAGTCATTCCATTTAAATTAGATAAAATAAATTATTTTTAGCACATGTCACTCACATGAGTACACGTATAAAAGTTTAGGGTTTATATTGTTTAAATTGAAATAAATATCATATTAAAATCTGAGTCGACTATCAGTTAAAAAATGTAATTTCTACTTATATAAAAAAAAATACATGACATAGTATTTTTTTTGGGACGACATAATAAATTTTAAGAAGTCCATGGTTAAATAAGGTTTCCTTTAAAAACAAAATTATTGGTTTAAAAAATTTATTTTGTTAAAAAAAAACCTTCACTTGTCTGACAAACCTATTTGTTACCTAAAAAGACACTTTAACCATTCTAAAAAAGATTTTTTAAAAAAATAATAATTTTAAGAATATGTCAAATAAATTAATTTTTTTGTGAACTTATTTTTAATGGGTAAACTATTAGTTAACTCTTCAAAAAAACTCTACTATAACACGATGCTAGAATGTAATATATATTTTTTTTAATGTTCATTGTGTCAAATTTTAACATTACATAATATATAGCAACGATTAGAGTTGCTATAACAATTGAACTTGCAAACCCGTGCGCGCGAACAGAAAAAGAAAAAGGGGCAAAACTCACCTTTTTGATAATCAAAATTTTTATAGCAACTCTAATATAAGAATCAGATTCTCTTCAGTTCACCTTGGACTAGATCATGTTGTTTGGCCTCGTAAAGTTTATCACAAGTTTCATTTTAATAATCAAATTTTTTTATTTTTTAGATCACAAAATGTAAATCATCTATATATATAAAAAATTATAAAAAAAAAAGTCAATTCGACAACCGTAACTACGTTACTCTATTGTATTTGTCTCTGAAAAATACATGATCTAATTTTCAAATAATATTTGTCATTTATTTTTTTTACTTGTATATGGCATAAAATAACGTCGTTACAGTTGTCGGATCAATTTAATTCTTTTAGTCAATGATTTACATGTGGTTCAAAAATGAATAATTTGAATTATCAAGATAGGATCCGTGATGGGCCACACAAGCCCAAACAACATGATTTTAAATCTACCAATATCTCTTTTAATAAAGTTAATTTGACTGAAACTAATGCAAATAATTGTTAAATCAACTCCAATCAAATTCACACAAATTATTATTTTTTGATTGTTATATGATTTTATAGGTATGCCAACAATCCAAGCCTTTATGCTGTCGAGCTGATCAATGAGCCTTTAGCACCTGGAGCATCACTAGATAGCATAATCAAGTACTATAAAGCTGGTTATGAAACTGTTCGAAAGCACTCCAAAACAGCTTATGTGGTTATGTCAAACCGGTTAGGACAAGCTGATCCTAAAGAACTCTTTCCTCTTGCTAGTGGTTTAGAGAGGACAGTGATTGATGTACATTACTACAACCTCTTCTCTGATGTTTTTAACAACATGACTGTCCAACAAAACATCAACTTCATCAACACCAACCGAACAGCTGATTTGAATCTGGTTACTACATCAAATGGGCCTCTCACTTTTGTGGGTAATGTTCCTAATGTTCTTTCGTATAATTTCAGTTATTATATTTGGCAATCAAACTCATGCAGCTCTAATGCAATTTTTTTTTTAATTTTTTTTTAAAATTTGCTAGCGTGTTTGATAATGTTTTATGTTTATAGTTTTCTATTTTTTATTTTTTTTATTTATATTTATAATTTTTTTTTTTTATAAATTATAAACAAAAACTTGTTTAATATCTATTTTCATTTTCAAAAACTTATAAACATTTTATAAATTCTTTATTGAACTCTTCTAATTGTAAAAAAGTTTATTTCATTTATTTTACAAAATAAAATAAAATAAAATAACTTTACGTCCTCCTTCTCCCATCCCTTCTAGCTACTAAGCAAGGCTAGTCACCACCACATTTGGCCGCTCCAATTACGTCATCCTTCTCCCATCCCTTCTAGCTACCAAGCATCGCTCATCACCACTACCAACCACCACATTTGGCCACTCCCATGCCTATCTCTTGCCACCATCGTCAGTGACCTCCTTCAACAACTACCTAGTAATCACCTCCTTTTACTTTGGTTGTGAGTCACCACCTTAGGTGGCCGGTTACCATACCCGATTGTTGGCAACCATTCATAGCCATCACCAACACCCTCCAACGGACAGGAACACCCTTCCAAGGGTGCATTTCCAGCAATTGATAACCACTTTCAATCATCATCTCCGAGCATCGTCAACCATTTTGAGCCACCCTCTTCACTTGTTTTAATATATATTTCACAAATTTTCTAAAACAACGTCGATAAATTCTTTATCAGCGCGGGATCTTCTGTCCCAATTCACTATCTTAGCTTTCTTTTTTATTTTCCATGTGTTGCCACTTCGTTATCGCTTAAAACTAATCTTCATTTCGTCACTATATGTTGACGAAACTAAAACTTGAAAAGCATATTCTCTCACTAAATATCATTCAAATAATTGTCCCTTGCACAACTTCACATAGACATTTGCGAAATTATAGTATCAGTTCTTTACATGTTTCAAAGATGGGAAGTCTTCAATGTCGTCTTGAGAAGTCCACAAGACCTTCACTGCCTACATACATTAATTAATAAAAAAATACAAATAAAGCTCAAATCATAAAACATTTGATTAATATTAAAAGGAAAAGAAAAGAAAAAGAAAAGAAAGCAGAGCTTAAAATATTATATGCCCATTAGTTTTACCTCAATAGATTTATGATCAATAGATGTCAGAATTTGCAAAGCTTTATCAAGGTCTGAATAGCAGTTGATGGTAGGCAGCTCACGTCTTACAGAAGCAGCAACCAAAATTGTCATCTACAATACAAAACAAGCATGACTATCACTTTTGATCTCTCTTTTCTACAAAAATTTCAAAACTGAAAAGGAATAGGCATTTTGTAAATTGTTATGGTTGCCAAAAAATGTAAACTGTAGCGATTAATTTCCCTCCTCCAACAACTACCCCACAATATCATTGCCAATATCATACCCTCACTTTCTCTCTAGCTGATATAGTTTTTTCATGGTATAGTCTTTCATTTAGGATTTTTACAGAATGAAGGTGAAATTTCAATGAGGAATTAACATGAAATTTCAATAATCACAAAAGGAACTCCAAATAAAGTTTTAGGAAACCAGTCTAAGAAAAAACTTACAATGACATATTTTTTATTAGGACAGGTAGCTGTCTTGCATCTAATTCCTTTCCTGAAATCGTTTACTCCGACAAGGGTATTTACTTTCTTCCGCTCCTCCTCATATGTTCGATCAAAAATTTCCTTCCATGGCCGCTTCATGTTTACCTGAATCGAAAGAGTACCAAGTAAACATCATGTTACCGAAACATACAAGTAATCCGCAATTCCAATATGAACCAACAATCCCAAGCAATTTATAAAAAAGAAAAGATAGTCATTCTCCTAGTGATAAAAATATGCAAAATGAAACTCAATAAAACAATAAACGAGATCAATCACATAACAATTAGTCACCACATACACACACACACACACATAAATGAACCACCAAACCAATATTTGGCCATATAGAAACAGGGGCAAAGAGAGTAGGAGAGAACTCCAAATCCTTCAAACAAGTCTTATGTTAGATACTCAGATTTTATGGTTGCTAAATACAGCCAATATTTTAGAGACAATTAAATTTGATTTGACATTTTGTATAAGAGAAAAGGGGAGAAAAAAAAATCAACACTTAATGATTGAGAGAGAGAGAGAGAGATGTAATATTTGAATTAAGTAATATCATTGTGAACTTTGATATATAATGTATATAGAATGAATCCAAATGGTAACAATAATGGCAAGCATGCAGAAGAGAATGACTCCAAAATAGCATTTGAGGGAAATGAACAGTGACAAATGCAGTGTTATTTTTAAAAGACTGGGAGGTAAAGTGCTACTACCAAGCCACACCACAAGAAAGTAAAGTAAATTTTGCCCTATATTTTATTATAGAAAACAAACTAACAACTAACATAGTTGAGCTGGTTAAATTACTCAATTCCACAACCAAGACAGGTGTTCAAATCTTGCTAGTATATTGTTTTCACTGCAGAAATATTAAAAAATGATAAACAAATATATCATGGGTCGGTACTAGTATATTGTTTTCACTGCAGAAATATTAAAAAATGATAAACAAATATATCATGGGTCGGTTTGGTTTAGAACCATAACAGATGCCTTAAAACCGCAAATCAAACCGATTTGAACGTTCCACCATTTGCAAAACCAGGACGTACTACATGACAGTCGTATTACACATGTTAAGCAGTATAAGAAAAAGACTATAATGTACAAAATGTGCATGAAATCATAATACAAAATGAAAATGTGTAATAAGCCACAGAAAAGCTAAAAATTAACCAAGGAACACCAAACACAAGAAATGCACTTGTATAAGCTAAACAAAGATGACGGAAAAAAAAATCTATGACTGTAAAGATTATCCAAAACATATAAAAGAGGTTTCACGGGAAAGATGGCTCAAATGCAATATGTCACAAGTTTGTTTTGATGAAACAATGTATTTTGACCACAGGCACAAACACTAAACTTCGAAATAGCAATTGCCCTAAGAAAACAAGTAAATGTGCATAAAGAAAGAAACAAAGGAGAAAGAGAAAAAAAAAATTCATTTACATTTGAGTAGGCAGAGACACAAGACTCTGGATAACGGTATACGCGAGAAATAGTTTCTGCAATCAGAGATTTAAACTAATCAGGACAAAGTGTAAGAATATATAAAAGATGGCAAGTAACAACACAAAACATTCCCAAATCAGACCATGTTATAGAGAGGACTATAAACAAATCAAACTAGTTCGACTCGTGTTTAGTTTATTAAAAGTTCATTTAAGATTGACTCGTTATGTAAATAAGATTTCAACCCATTTTGAAGCTCATCACCACATAAAATAAAAAATAAAAAAGAATTAGGCTACTCAAGCTCAGCTCCATTAAAGCTCATTTGAATTCGTCAACTTTGAGCACATTCTTAAATTCGTCAAGTTTTTTGGTGAACAACCTACCCATTCCTTTGGGAGTTGTATGGCTTATTTTCGTCTTTAATTAACTTCAAAAAAAAAAAAAAATCATGTTGTATGGCTTATTTTCGTCTTTAATTAACTTCAAAAAAAAAAAAAAATCATGTCAAATTTCTTCACTTTTAGATCGGAGTTGACTATACAATCTTAAAAATCATAAAAAATTGATTTTTATAAGTGTTTTTTTCTTTTTTTTCCTCTTTTAAAAGAATAATCAGTTGTCATTTTAGTTTTAGCCCTAGTTATAGACACCCAAAATTTTAAAATAAACCCAAAGACAGAAGAAGAAGGAGAAGAACACACTTGATAACATCAAGTGTAAGCCGAGAGCAGTCGGAGTGTCAGAAACCATTGAAATCAAGTCAAGATCTCTTTCAATTTGATCAGTAGCACCGTCAAAAGCAACCTAAGTCAAATAATCAAACAATTGAAATTAAGCGATCAAACACACATATACATAAATAAATATGTGTTTTTGTGCGAAGAGAAATCAATTAATGAAGAACCTGAACCATGAGCACAGAATCCTTGCTTTGCGAGCTAAATATCATGACAACAATAAACAGAACAGCAAAGAACGCAATCATAATCGCGTTTCGTTCGGATTTGGAATCGGTCGATGGTGATGATGAATTCAGTTTCTGATGAGTTGTTCTCGGTATACTAGTACAATAGGATTGGTGACTATAGACAGTTATTGTATCATGGCTTGATCTTGAAGAAGAACTCCTGGCGTAACCTCCCATCTCGCCCCCCAAAACTGAATCGACATGGAAGGTAGAGATCATTAGCAAAACTAATAGTGACGCCATAGCCATAAACATCGTCGTCATCGTCTTCTTCTTCGCCATTATTATTATTGATTGAATTGCTAATACCTTCTTCTTCTTCTTCTTGGTTGTTTTTTCTAGGGTTTTGTTTTTCCCCCATTGATATTCAGCCTTTGTATGCGTGAGTCTTTCCACTTTCAGTCTACGCGTTTGACTCCTGCAAAACCCTCACACCTTCCACCTTCCTTCCTTCCCATTTCTCCGTACTAATCTAATCACCATGTATATGACATCAATATATACATGTATAAATGGTCCCTTATGCATCATGTCTGTGACCAAATATACATGTATAAATAAATGGTCCCTTATGCATCATGTATGTGACCAAATATACATGTATAAATTTATATGTACATAAAACTCATCCACTTATTATTATATGCTACCGTATAGGGTTAGTACATACATAGCACAAGTTGGCAGGGGTCTTTGCAATTCGATTGCAGTTGAAGAATTTTTAATCTGTCATTTATCTATGAGGTTGATATATTAAAAAAAATCAATTCGCATCTGTTTAACGAATTGATGGATGTAGATTGACAGATGAAAACGAATCAGTTTGACGGTTTAAATTTTTACAAATTTTAAACATAATACAATAACTTATTAACATTTTTTGTGAATGGCAATAACTCAATATAATTGAAGGATTATAAAGTGAATTGTCAAATATCAATAATAAAAACATGTAAGAAAACTATGCATATCAAAACTATTTCATTATTTTTTTTATTCAAAAACTATTCAATTTGATTTTTTTTTAAAATGATAAAATTAAACCTTATATTTTTCACACAAAAATATCAAATATCAACATTTGCCATTTGATAAAAGGATTTCCAAATTAAAAACACAACAAAATATCTAAACTCTTTTTCAATTGAAAACACAAACAGAATATGTAAACAAATTGAAAATACAAAATCTTATAAATTACTAGGAGTGCTCGCGGTTTGGCGATTTGGTTGCAGCTAAAGTAACCTTAAATCTGCCATCCATCCAAAACTAAGCGGATTGAAAAAAAAATTTAATCTGCAACCATCTGCTCATCATTATGCATCCGTCTAAAATGTGGTAGACCGGTTTGGTTTGGTTGGTTTGGACGGATCGGAATATCTACTGCTCACCTCTATAAGTTGAATAATTTGTTTTGTCTTATTTTTAAGGATAAATTATAAATATATTTCTTTAAATTTATTTAAAATACAGATTATTTTTTTAGTTTTGAAATTATAAATATTCTCTTATTAGAATTTTTTTTAACAGAATTAATTAAAAAATAAAATTCATAATTTCTCTCATATATAATAAAAAAATATCTAAATTATTAATTGAAACATATTTCTAATATCATTAAAAACTGTTAATAGACTTGATAATTTATTAATAAAAATGGTGATTTGTTATGAAATTAAAAACTCCAAGAAATAGAATATAATTTCCAAAGTTATAAGAGATAATTTATATTTTAATCAAGTCTCAAAAGATATATTTATAATTTTTCTTATTATTAACTCATTCTATTTATATATTATATTTAATTTTTAAAGAGACAAAATTTTAAAGACTAGTATAGATTTTGACATTTTTTCTTTAATTTTTTATTTTGGTTATGAGTCCCCCGGTGACCATCGGCAATATTTTTATAGTAATAATTTTTAACAATTTTTTTGTCCTTTTTTTAAGAAAAATCAACATCCATTTTCACCGTGTCACTTTATTATTGTATCAATATTTGTCAAACCATTTAATCTTTTATTCTTTTTCACCGTCACACTCACACTTATATACATACACCAACCCATCCTTATTCATTCAAAAAAACACATTCACTGTAATACCCCAAAATTTGAGGACATCATAATAAAGTTTAAAACTTAAAATCAATTTTCTTAATTAAGAACTTCTAATCATTGTTGCCACTATGTTTGCCATCATCCATCAATTAACAAAACAGAAATTAAAAGTTCTTAAATTACAACTCCAATCAAATTTAAAGTTTAGTCTTAGTATATTCATGAAAGAAAAACATAAATATATATAATAAAAAAACAAAAAAGAAAACTAGAGAAAAACTAAATAACTCAGGAAAAGGGTTCATGGGACTTAGGCACATTTCAAGCTAACCAAAGGTTGAACGTCACCTTCCAAAACCTTGGTATTTCCTTCGGTTTCTTCAAGCGATGAGCTCAATAAGATAGTACAACTCGAAAATATCCACCCCAATAATAATACTCACAATTAATGAATATTGTGTAGTAACAGAGTAACAACCAGCATTTAATAAGCATAACAGAAATGCTATCAGTTAAAATAATAATAATAGATAATAAGAACAATGGCAAACGGAAGTAGTAATTCATCATAGGAAAAATGTCAACTTTTCTTTTAAATTCACATAGGTTTAGTTTATCAGGTAAGTCTAAGTAACTCCCCATAAAGCACTATTTTCACTCAACCGTTAAGCAATGGCGATAGGCAATTCTAACTCCCTATTGGTCAAATATTCAAATGTTACTTGCTGTAACTACCAATGATGCCCACACACCAGGGTTACGTACCCAAGTCGTGACATCTCGGTCTGCCTCAAGAGAACGGTCTATGTTGTGACACCCGCACCACTAACCTTATATCGCTATACCGATAAAAGCCGAAATACTTTCCCGTGCCATGTTAGAGCTCGTAACTCACTCGCGCAAGACTCTAAACCAGGCTCACCCCATCACTTTTAAACTTTAATGCATCGATTCAATTTCTTGTCGAATTCACATTTTGAATCATGTGCGAGTTTTAATTTGAAAACCACAGTGACATAAGGTTTATATATCACAACACAACCACGTATGACAACCAAAATATATTTATAGAATGTCTTAGGAGTCATCATAAAATTTCTTAGAATTTCTCACACTTCTTATTTTCAGCACTGAATGGGCAGACTAAAAATAATGAAACCTATAACAAATGAAGTTCAATTATTATAATATTTTAATTGGTGCTAGGTCATTGAGTTAGGAAAATATTTTGAGAAGAATACCAAGGCTAAAAATGATTTTAAAATGGAGAAATAAAATTTGGAAGAAAACTGGTTTCTGGGATAATGAGCTACAGCAACTTCCAACACAGGTGATCTGTGTTTGAAAAATAAAAAGGGGTCTCAAACGATGTTAAAAAGAGGTATGGTCACAATGGCTTGCTAGATATTTGAGTTTAGAACATATTTATAGAGAGCTTGAAGACTGAAAATCAATAGAAGATGGTCAAATAATTTTGCTAAGAAAATTGGACAGATTCTGTCGCATTTTAGTAAAACTGCAATTTCTCCTCTTAGACTTGTTCATTTTTTGTGAAATCAGTGGCAAATGAAAGATAACTCTTATATCTAACTATCCCAAGTGGTCGTGCAGAAAAATACCATTTTCAGAGAAAATATGACCTATTTAAAGTCACGTTTCTACTGTGTTATAAGTAACACTTAGGACAAATATTTACTTCGGTAAGGAAATAGTGTCCAATGATTTTATAAAAAATTTACACGTGTATAGAACACCTATATATACTCCTAGTACAAAAAGATTTTAAACACAAGTTATTTTCAATTTATTAGAGAATTTTTCATCCAATAAAATCTGAAACATTGAACAAAATATAAGTTTCAAGTAAAAGTGAACCAACCTTATCTCATTTTACCCTCATGCAAGATTATTTCAAACAGTGGAGAATATTTGAAAACATAAGAAGATAAAATCAGTAGCCAAACCATCTAATCTATGCTTGCAAGAAGGAATAGAAATCATATAATCATGAAATTCTCATTCTATCTGTTAAAATGGTTAAGAGAAATATATATATGAATTGCATATCTCAGAATCAATGTACAGCGACTCCTATATATAGGATGTTAGGTCCCTTTATTGTCAAATCCGGGTACAAAACTTTGTGTTGAAAAAGTTGTAATTTTTGTCTTTCCCGCTCGAGCGGGACCATTGGCGCTCGAACGGAGATTGGGGTCTCTCAGTATTTTGTCAGGTCTGTAAAAATACTAGAAGGTGTGATTTCGCACTCGAGCAGGTTATCAAGCGCTCGGGCGGAACTCTGTTTTATCACACGCATGTTTTGCTGAATCCGCTCGAGCGGGCTGTTGGGCGCTGGAGCGGAGATCGCGGACTCAGGTTGCTTATTTATACCTGTTTAGGTTGATTTTAGGTTTTACGTTTCCTAGATCTTACTCAAGAGTCCTTGGGTTTTGTTTGAAGTTTTCTTCTGAGGTTTTTGTGAGTTTTCCTTGATGTTTTGAGAAGAGTTCTTCACTCATGATCTAAGATACATACATCAAGGAGTTTGTTACTTTAAATTCAAGAGAGAGTTCTCTTCGGTGGATTCAGAAGATTCAAGCGTAGAGTTTCAAAAGGCGTTTGATTCTGTACGTAGTCGTTAATTCGACAAGTGAAGTTGTGGATTCAACTTCAGGATTGATCAGTTCTAAGACGAAGGCGTGGTGAAAGAGTTACAGAAGATTCGAAGACAAATTGACTGAGTTGAGTAGTTTGTGTATTGTCTTTGTAATCTTTCTTTCTTCAGTAGTGGATTGATTAGTGGCGTTTCGCCCGTGGTTTTTTATTACAATTGAAGATTCTTCAATTGTGGTTTTTTCCATGTAAAAATCATTTGTGTTGATTTATTGTTTATTCAAAAAAACAACAATTTAAATCACTTTCGTAAGTACTTTGATGATTTAGATTGCGTGCTTTGAATAATTGGGATTTGGAATATTTTAATCTTGATCTAATCACGAATCACTTAGGATTTTCAATTGGTATCAGAGCAGGTCACTCTTTGTTTTTATCTAAACTATAGGAGTGTGATTTTGTGTGACTAGTGATATAGATTCTATTCGTGAAGGTAACTTGACCCATAGACCTCCTTTACTCGATGGTACAAACTATTCTTACTGGAAAGCTCGTATGAGAGCGTTTTTAAAATCCATCGATGAGAAAGTCTGGCACTGCGTGATCTATGGGTAGAGTGAACCTACTATCACCATTGATGGTGTTGATATTCCTAAACCCCTTGATAAATGGGACACAACTGATTACCAAAACTCAAGTTGGAACAGTAAGGCTCTCAATTCCCTGTTTTGCTCTGTCACACCTGAAGAGTTTCGTCGTATCTGCACGTGTGAGGTAACAAAAGAGGCTTGGGACATTCTTGAAACGA